GATGTTTCACCACCCTTGCCTTTGACGAACACTCTTAGACTTCCTCCATGAAAGACTTGTGGCAGTCCGTGAAAAAATTTATTATTCTACTTCAACACCACAATTTTTAAAAAATATTTTTCATTTCTTTTCATATAATAATACCTTTACAGTATGTTTAATTCATATACGTTGTGTTTTATACAATCATTCATATACATTCTAATTTACATTTTTTATACTAGTTTATTTACAAAATTTAAATACATTCTTTTTCACACTAGCTCATTCCCATTTCCGATTACATCTGTGGAAAGAATCATTTGAGAAGTTCCATATCATCAGTGAAAATGAGACCAGGTGCTGATTTTGGAACAGACCATCAACTACTCGTATGCAAGTTCAAAGTAAAGCTAAAGAAAGCTAAATCAATCCCACAGTAATCAAAATTTGACCTTGAGTCTATCCCATCTTAATTTAAAAACCTTCTCAGGACAGATTTGAAGCCTTAAACACTAATAAGCGAAGACCAGATGAGCTGTGGGAGGATATCAAGAGTTATCATCCATGAAGAATGCAAAAAAGGCAATTACAAAGACCAAGGACGAAGAAAAGAAATGCAGGGTAGAACCTGTCAAAGACCTTAAAAAAAAAAAGAAAGAAAGAAAGAAAAACAATGTTGCAGTAGTGTAATGTGGAGGAAGCACTTCTCACTGGGGAGATTAGAAGTGCTTCATTAGGGAGATGGGAACACTGAACTGTGGGAACATGGGGAAGAATTTGAGTTGGAAGAACAAAATGAGCAAAGGCATAGAGTCAGGGAACAGCAAAATGTTTTAATTTGGCTGAATATAAAGATGAAAAATGGTGGGTGAGATTGGATTGTGGAGGGTCTCAACTTGTAAGAATAAGAAATTTAATATTTCTTGTGAATAGACAGTCTGCTGGAGGGTTTGAGTAGATAAACCTGATGGAATTGTTGGAGGGACTGGAGTGAGTGGAAACTGGAAAACACATGACAAAAAACATGGGGAAGCACTGGCCTTAGTCCACTAAAGGGGTGGTGAGTAAATCAGAGAAGAATAGGGCCATGGGAATTCTAGGAGAGGGTGTTTATACATCTTGAAAGGTGGAATCAGTACGATGAAGTGAAGTTGCATGGTGGCCAGGAACAAAGACGAGTAGAGATGACTCTTGAATACCAATGTCAACTCAAATAGCCAGGCATGGTTCTAGGACTACCAGGCAGAAATAGTCCTAGAGGAGAGGAAGGAGAGAGAGTATGGGGACAGCATGTTGGCCACAGTGCAAAAGTTCTTAGTAGGTAGATGGAAACGTATGCCTAAATATACAGGACTGTGGTAGAGATCTGCATTATTCCATTCTTATGTATTCCTGTTATCCTTTAAAGCAGAAACCCAGGTGTGTTTGCTGTCATAGATTATTCATAAGCCTGGTCTTTTATTTGTCAACATTTCATTCATTTGTAAGAAGGTGCCTTAAATGAAGTTTTTAAGTATTTAAAACTTTAACCACCCTTCCTATTAAGTCGCGGGGTATTACATTACACCTTGGAGGAATGCCAGGTACATGATAAATGTTATTTAAGCTTAGGACAAGCACTTCTCAGAAAAAGTAATTTTTTTTAAATGGCACTTTAATTGATCATTTATTTGGCAGACTTGGTAACTGATCCAGCCCTATTATATACCAAGATTTTTCAAGTAAATTTCTTTCTCTGTTTTGAAATGTAATATGCTGATAAAATTTAGAAATCCAATCCCAATCTTATATTGTCTTAAAAATCATACTTATATTTTATCTTTTACTCAGAGTAATCATATTTTTTTAAAATAAAGGAGGAAAGAAATGGGAAAAGTTCTTTTACTTAATTATAAGGATAAATGCATAGTATTCCAAAGTCCCCTTTCTTCTTGTTTGTTCGTTTACAGATTTGTAGTCTAGAATCCTATAACTCAGAGTGGCACACGTGCCCCAGGCCCTTAGCTGTCTGTGTTGCCACTTGTCCTAAGGAAACAGTCTGAGCCTGCGAAAAAGAGAAACTAGGCCTTAAGATTATTTTCCTAATTGAGATAATCTGCTAGGGTTCAGAACACTGAATCTGTACCGGAAGTGTTTTCATAACTGAGCTTTGTATTTTGTAGTTTGCTTCTATTTGAATAGCTGACTGGGATGCCACTGCCGGCCCTGAGTGTTGATTTATTTTTGCCAGTAATGTTTGAGTATGAGGGGGTAAACATATATTTTGCTTCTATTTTTCTAATCCCTGGTGACAATTTGTTAATTCATAAGTCCCTTGCCTTCTTTCTTCAGGGAGAAGAGTGAGGGGTTCCAAAATTTATTCTGCTTTCCTTTTCTCACTTAGCTCCTTTCCTCAGCAGATCACATCCCCCGTAATTTTTCTCATTTTCACTCAATATTTATTTCTGTGCCTTCACAGAAAACAGAAAGCGCCTTGAGATTTCCCTCCCTTCCCTCTCTTTTGTTTCCCCATCCTCAGGAGCTGTGTTCAGGTTAATAGCTGGAATTGGAAACTGACCTGAAGCACAGCTCTAGAGCAGTGGTTGTAGCAGTAAATTGAATGTTTTGGGGTTTTTCTTTAAATTATTTTTTTAAATTTTTATTTTATTATATTTTTGTGCGTGTACTGTCAAATCGGATCTGACTGGTACTGGAGGAGATTGCCCCTCCTTCTCCAGCAGAGTAGTGGATTCAAACTGCGCACCTCTGGGATTGCAGTGCAGCTTCTTGCCATGAATGTTTTATTTTATGCCAATATTTTAAAAATTGTTCTTTGATAAATCATTTGAAGAATTTCCCCCCTTCTTTGTCATAAAAATTACTTTGTTGTAGAAAATACCCACATCTAGACTTTTCCTTAGCTCTTTGTATTCATGTGTAAGGTAAATCATTACAAAGAATGAATAAGTCTATCACACTTGTGTTGTTCACATCTTAATTGAAGGTTAATTATTGGCAAATCCTATTTATAACATCTTTAAATAAAAAAGGAAGTTGGTCAGCAAGAAAACTACTGGACATAGTTGACCAATTAGCAGAGTGGCGGGATACAAGATCAACATCAATTGGATTTCTCTACAGTAAGAAAGAGAATACAGAATTGGAGCTAAGAAAAATAATACCCTTCACAATAACTAAGTACAAGATTAAATACTTGGGAGTAAATCTAACCAGAAGACAAAGGATTGATTCAAAGAAAATTACAAAACATTACTAAAAGAAACAAAAAGATACCTGGAGAAATGGAAGAATATACCTTGCTCATGGATAGGAAGATTCAATATTATGAAAATTACAATACTACCAAAGGCAATTTACCCATTCCATGCAATCCCAATACAAATACCAATCCCATTCTTCAACAAGATGGAAAAGGCAATCTCCAGTTTCATTTGTAATGGAAAGAGGCCCCGAATAAGCAAAGCACTCCTTAAAAATAGAAACCAGGTAGGAGGCATCTCACTCTCCAATTTCAAATCCTACTACACTGCTGTGATAGTCAAGACAGCATGGTACTGGTACAATGACAGACACATAGATCAACGGAATAGAATCAAGAACCCAGAAATCAGCCCATCTACGTATGGTCAACTTATTTTTGACAAGGAGATGAAATCAGTTGTCAAATGGTATTGGCAAAATTGGAAAGCTATATGTAAAAAACTCAAGCAAGATCCACACCTTACTCCATTCACACCAACTCAAAATGGATCAAGGACCTATGACTAAAACCAAGGACTATAAACTTCATTAGAGAAAAACTTGGAAGAACCCTGGAAGCACTAATCCACAAAATAGGAGGGGATAAAATAGATGAATGGGACCTTCTAAGAATAAAATCCCTTTACACATCCAAAAACTTCTCCAACAGGGTGAAAAGGGAAGCCACAGACTGGGAAAAAATATTTAGCAATGACATGTCTGATAAGGGACTAATATCTAAAATTTATAGAATACTCGAGTGCCACAACAAGATAAAAGTAAACAACCCAATTGAAAAATGGGCACAGGATATGAACAGATACTTCACCAAAGAATACATTCAGATGGCGAACACACACATAAAGAAGTGTTCAAAGTCCCTAGCTCTAAGAGAGATACAAATCAAAACAACTATAAGATATCATTTCACCCCAGTAAGAATAGCAAAATTCAACAGAGCAGCAAACAAAAAAATGCCTGCGAGGTTGTGGAGAAACTAGAACCCTTATTCACTGTTGTTGGCAGTGTAAAATGGTAGGCAATATGGCACTTTCTCAAAAAAGCTGCAAACAGAAATAACATTTGACCCAGCAGTTCCACCATAACTGCCACCCAAACAGATATATGCACACCTATGTTTAGTGCAGCTTTGTTCACGATAGTAAAGAGTTGGACACAACCCAAGTGCCCATCAACAAACGAATGGATAGAGAAGTTGTGGTATATTCACACAATGGAAAACTATGCTGCATTGAAAAACAAAGAACTCATGAAATGTTATACAACATGGGTGACCCTGGAAGACATTATGCTGAGTGAAATATCTGTTACAAAAGGACAAATACTGCATAGTGCCACTGTTGTAAAATGGGACTGACATCGGGGTTGGGGGAAACCTAAGAAAAAAGGGGATAAATAATATCTACTGTATTGAAACAGATGAGGGAGAGAACTATTTAAAAGGAATGTAGGATTCGGTATTATTTTCATGACAAGATTACAGAAAAAGAAATGCATAGTAAAGTGGACTGTAGACTGGATGGCAGTTGCATAACAAATAATTTTTTTTTATCCTTCAGAGAGTAAAACGAACTAGGGGAAGGGTGGGCAGGGAAGAAAATGTGTGACAGTGAATGAATGGGGGAAATTAAATGAAGAAAAAAAATAGGCTGTAAAAATATGTATATGTTGCATTAAAAATTAATAAAAATAATTTTAAAAATAAAAATTAAAAAATGAAGTTGAATAACAATATCCTTTTTATGTTTGTTTTTTAGATTCAGAATATGAACAACATAATCTCCTTTCCTTTGGACAGTTTGCTGAAGGGTGACCTAAAAGGAGTTAAAGGGGTATGATATTTAAAAATCATTATTATTGGATGACAGATTTTATGTAATGTAGAATCACAGTAATATTGGCCTATCATAGCAGGCAGCCTATAGTATTATAGTTTAATTGAGATAACAGGATGACATTTGTGCTCTCTCATTTTCCTTTGATATGTAATCTTGGCCTGGTCTTATGGCTGGCAAGTCACTGGTTAACCACGTGCAAGCATTATGAAGGAATGAACTGACTTTCTTTTTCTCTCCTCCAGAGATGTTTATTGTGTATTACAGGCCTTGCTACTTATAAACAATTAAGTTTTGAATTGATTCACAAATCTATGAGTCAGGGCAGATGGGTACATTATGCTGAGAAGTAAGTTGCTTCTGCACATCATTGGTACAAACAGGTGTGAGCTATCAAAGGGAGATGATTATGTCTGTGTTGTTAGGAGACCCGAGTTCTTTTCTTGGATCGACATGTGATTACTGTCTAGAGTAGAATCACATCTGGGCATGTCTGGATGCCCAGCCTGGCCAGTCTTGGGGATCTCTGATTTGCAGAGTACACGAGGCAAAGGTTTAGCTAGGGATCTGCTAAGACAGAACAGTGGGGCTCCGGAAGTTATGTCCTCTGAGTCAGCCAGAAGGAAGCATATTCTCAGTAGCAGGAGAACGATATGCAAATATGTGAAAGCATGACTCAACACTGATGTATCAGGCTGTTAGTGAGGTTAAAGCAATGAGTCAGGAACGATCCCAGTAGTGGGAAATGACACTTAGAAGGTGAGGTGTGCCCTATTCCTAGAGAACCTCTGTACAAAGCTCTGAAGCTTAGACTTGTAATGTCAGTGAAGAGAGACTCACCCCCACTTCCCCAAATGTATAAATAAAAGGGGGAAAAATTAGTCTCTGTATTTTAAAAAAAAGTCATGTTGAGGGGAGCTCTGGTGGTCTAGTGGCAAGAAGCTGCAACTACAATCCCAGAGGTGCACAGTTCGAATCCACCAGATGCTCTGCCGGGGAAGGAGGGGCAATCTCCTCCTGTACCAGTCAGATCTGATTTGACGCTACACGCACACAAAAATAATAAAAAAAATTAAAAAAAAATTTTTTTTTTAAAAAGGCATGTTGAAGGGAGTGTAAATAGTATGAACCATTTTATAGAATTTCTACTGGCTTAGTATTTTCTGGGCTAGTAGAGCTTATCAGAGAGTGATAGAGTGGAGTAGGGAAGCCCCAGGGAAATATGGATGACTTTTATGTTGTTTGAGGGGTAGGGTGCCTAAATCAGGATTATTTTTGTTGGAGAGATTTTTATGTTAGTTGGGAAAAGTCAATATCCCTTTCATTTGGAAAGAGATTTTGAATGCTTGGCAGATTAAATGTTATGTGTTTCTGTGTTAGTTTCAGAATAATTCTAGTACAGAGGATAGGGCGGGAGAAAGCAAGATAGGCCTTTAGTTAATCGTTATGATAACCAGAGAATGAGGACATTATGTGATTCTTTTTTTGAATGCATTTAGTACATTGTATAGTACAAATTTGAAAGAAGAGAGAGGAGAGAGGAAAACCAAAATGAAGAGAAAATGCTTACTAGTATCCTAATTAAAATCCTATTTTCATTATTCTTCATAGCATCATATATACCATCTTTTACAAATATGAATGTACCTTTCAGAACTAGTCTAGGATAAGTACTTCTTTTTTTCCTAAATTTAAATTTATTACTAATTTCAGTTAAAATTTACAGAGACTTTGGATTTCCATTCATTCATTTGTGCTCTTTTCTTCCCTCCCAACCCTCCCTCCTAGTACACTACCCTCTTGGAAAAGTAAAAGACAAATTCTTTCACTGTTTTACAAACCCTCCCCCAGGTCCACTCCACCATGTAGCCTTCGCTCTAGACTCCTGTCATGATAAAAATACCTAATCACATGTCCCTTTTAAACAGTTTTCTCCCTCATCTCTTTCAATGCAGTATACATTAGTGAACCCATCTTTCTCAGTCTCCCCCCAACCCCGATGTCAGTTGTCCTTTTGTGATTGAGGTACTTCACTCAGCATAATGTTTTCCAGGGTCACCTGTTTTGAATAATACTGCATGAGTTCCTTGTTTTTCAATGTAGCCTAGTATTCCATTGTGTGAATATACCACAGCTTCTCTATCGTTTGCTGATGGACACTTGGGTTGTTTCCAACTCCTTGCTATTGTGAATAAAGCCATGATAAACATCGGTGTGATACATCTGCTTGGATGTCAGTTATGGTCTCTTTGGGGTGGAATTGCTGGGTCAAATGGTATCTCTATTTGCAACTTTTTGAGAAAGCACCGTACTGCCTTCTACAGTGGTTGCATCATTTACACTCCCACCAACAGTGGATGTGGGTTCTAGTTTCTCCACAACCTTGCCAGCATTTGTTCCTTGCTGTTCTGTTAAATTTTGCTGTTCTGACTGGGGTGAGGTGATATCTCATAGTTGTTTTTAGGATAAGTACTTCTATCTTGCTTAGAAATTAATGATGAATTTATACCTCTCTGTTTACAGGATCTTAAAAAACCTTTTGATAAAGCTTGGAAGGACTATGAAACAAAAATGTGAGTGCTTTCATTTTAAAAACTAAATGTATGTCGTTTGGGATTTCATTTTTAAAATCAGCTTTTATTACTTCCAGCTATTATTTAAATAAACTTTAATCAAGGGAAGAATTTCCCTAAAACCATGTTGCTATAGTTTCTTAGGATGACAGATGATTCCAGTGCTGTTTATTTAAATTTAGTTGTATTAACTTCTTTAAGTTTGCTTCCCCCTTTTTGATTATGTCATAATACTTATTTTTAGGAAAATTATTCTAAGGGAGTTAAGGCTGATTTATCTCATGAGCCTCTTTTTTTTAACAACAACAACAAAAAAAACAGTTTCCCCTGTTTATTACTATTTTTGACAGTATAGTTTTTGGACTTTGTCTTCTTGGTGATTTCTAAAAACTGCCCTGTTTCTAGCTTTGTGTCTATGTTTTTCTATACCTCAGCCTCCTTGGGTTTAGAGGAAGCAAAGAGAAAACTTCAGCACACCAATATCCTTTAAATTTGATTGCTCCATCTGCCAAAAAGGAATGTAAAGAATGAGTTAGACAGTGTGAATGGAGGATTATGTGAAACACAATATATGCAAACTTTGTAATAAGTAAACCAATATTTAAAAAATAAAAGAATGGGTTAGTTGGTTCTTGGCTGTGTATACCAATCTCCATTAAGAAAGACTGCTGCTCATTGACTTTGACATTTCCACACATAATTTCTCATTTCTAGAATGGGGAGAGTTGAGCTAGCTAGATTTGCACTCATGTTCATGGAGAACGACAGCTTCAGTTATTTTAAATACCTGAGAATTAGAAAATATTTTTAAATGCCTTGTGTTTCCTTTTGTAATCATTGTGCATAAGTCAATAGTACAGAGTTACCTGGGTGGAAATAGTAGCTTTCTTATGAAGCCATTTGGTAATATGAGAAGTGTTGAGGAATGTCATGTCAATTGTACCTACAAATATTTACTTGTAAAGTTTGGGCTTGTTTTATGAGCCTTGCTTATCTTTTCAGTGGTGAAAGCTCACAAGAAATACAAATCTGTGGTGCACCTTCCATACATTTCCAATCCTGAAGCTGCTTGAATTCCTGAGTTCTGGAGTTTTCTGAATGGTATATACATTCATATATAAACAGAAGGAGTGTGAAAGTAAAATACCTTGAAGGTGTCAGCCCAGAGAGGCTCTGAACCTACTATCATTGGGCCTTTTCCCACCTGTTGTTGTTGAGTGCTGTCAAGTCAGAACCGACTCGTAGCTGACCCTCCAGTGAGTTTTCAAAAGCAGTAAATCACATAGGAGGAGATGGCCCATCCTTCTCCAGCAGAGCAGCTGGTGGATTTGGACTCTGTGCCTTTGAGCTTTCAGCAAAGCTTACCATGTTGCTGTTAGATGCCGTTGAGTATATGACTCATAGAGACCCTGTGAATAGCAGATCCAAATTCTGCTCTGTTCTTTGCCATCCCCACAATCTCTGATACACTGGAGCTCATTATTGCAGTCACTGTGTCAGTCCACCTGGTTGAGGGTCTTTTTCTCTTTCGCCATCCTTCCACCTTCTCAAGCGTGATGTCCCTCTCCAGCAAATAGCCTCTCCTAGCCACATGCACAAAGTAGAGAGACAAAGTTATATCATCTTTGTCATCAAGGAGCACTCTGGCTGTACCTTCTCCAAGATGTACCTGTTTGTTCTTTTAGCACTCTTCTCTAGCACCACAGTTCAAAGGCATAAATTCTTCTTCTGTCATCCTTATTCACTGTCCAGCTCACAGCAGCATAACAAGTGTATGTATATGCACCACACACAGAGACAGAGAAATTAAATATATAGGGGGGGAAGCACCATTTCTACTTTACACGTGGGAAATCTAGACTTGGTGGTTTACTTCTGGTCAAACAATAAGAATAATTAAGCAAGGGCTAGGTAATATGTTTTTCACTTTCATTCAGTTGTTCTTACTACCACCCTTAAGTGCCTTAAATGGAATGACTTTGTGCATTACTGGAAGAAAGGAATACATACATTTATGAAGATTGCCTGAAAGACTCCTCTGGATATGGAAAGAAAAGATTTGATTAAAAAATGAGGTAAAATTCTGTCAAGTCAAGATAGGCATAGATAGGACTGAGAACGAATCTCACAAAATCCTAGAATGTAAATGAAAATGAAGCTGTACATTTTAAAACTTGGAATAATTCTATGATTAATAAAGGCAGTAATTCCACCCCCCACCCCCACTAATGTGTGAGATTCATTTATCCCATTAGGTCTTAATGTTATATAACAAATGTTTATGATGCCTTGAAAACTCCTGGGCAGTAATTCCTTACCTGATGATTAAGAAAAATTACCAATGTCTGGATGGTGCCTTAGTCACTTTGAGGTGGTGCCAGGGGAACTTTGAGTTATATAATTATAGCCCCCAGGATTTCACAATCCCTCCAGACACAGTTCTTCTCTGATGCATTAACTGATTTTTCCAACAGCTCTATCTAATAAACAATTGTTTACGTATATTCCAATTTTCTCACTTGCTCTTTAGATTGACTACTCTGTGCCCAGCACAGCACTTTGCTCCATGCTAAAGTAACACAGATAAGAAACTATATTTCTTACCTTCTCTAAAACACTCCACACCCGTAATAGGAAACTATGGAACTCCTAAATGCCCATTTCATTGTTAAACAACTTTTGAAAGAAAATGCTACCTTAAGTGTTCTAATGTCTCCCTTGAGGTGCTGTAGAAAACACCTTCTCTCTTTTCTTCATGGTAGCCCTTTACATTTTTTCACTGCTCTCGTTTAGTCTTTGTTTTCTTCAAAATAAAAATGCTTGGTTATTTTAAACCTTTATTAGCTGAAATGATTTTATAGCTCCTTCGCACCCTCGTCACTCTTCTTTGGACATGCTAAAAAAAAGAGAAAGTGAATTTACAGCCATTAAGTTTATTCTGACTCACAGCAATCTCGTCGGACCACCCCAGAAGGTTTCTGAAGTTGTAATCTTTACAGAGGCAGACTGCCTTATCTTTCTATCACGAGTATCCTGTGGCTTCTTAGCCACCAGTCATGTGGTTCATAGCCAAATGCTTTAATGACAGCAACACTAGATCTCCTTGGACATGCTCTGTTTGTAACTTGAATTGTACACTTGGCATTTTGTAGCGCAAAGTGAAGAGCAGTTTCAATAATGAAGAGTTGTTTCATCTCCTCGTGTGCCAACCCAAAGGCAGTGCCCCTGGGGGTTAGAATCCACCAGCTCCTCCTGGGGAGAGAGGTGGGCAATCTCCTCCATGTGAATTACAGCCTTTGAAATGCTACTGGAGGATCAGCTAAGAATCATCCCAACTTGCTATCAATCAGTTGTTGAAAGTGAGGAGAATTGGCTTAGGTCAAGTCAGGAAGACTGGCATTCTTTCCCTCAGTGAAGAGAAAGGAAATGAAGAAAGAAGAACGGGAGAAAGTATTGGAAGAGAAATAGTTGATAGAGAATCATTCTTGCCTGAGCAATTCCCTTTGCACTAGAATGTTGTTGCTGAGAAAGATCTTTAAGGCATGCTACCTCCTCTGACCCTGTGGAAACACTGCTGGTGCAGAGTCTGGCACAAAGTGTGAATGCCTCAGAAAAGTTTGTTGAGTAAGTGGTAGAAAGACTGGTTTTGATACTTTTATGACTACATTTTCCTTTCAAGTAAGCTAGGAGGCTGTCCCGCTTAAAAATGCCTGGTGAGCATTTGTCCCAGCAGGATCTGCAGTAGTTTGGCTTCACAGCTGTCCAGTCTGCCCAAAGGCATCGTGATTTATCCTCGCTCTTTTCTCACTTAGAACCAAAATAGAAAAGGAGAAAAAAGAACATGCCAAACTCCACGGAATGATTCGTACCGAAATAAGTGGGGCCGAAATTGCTGAGGAAATGGAAAAGGAGAGGAGGTTCTTCCAGCTACAGATGTGCGAGGTAAGATGCTGGGAAGTCACAGAGCCTTGCCAGGTGTATAAAAGGGAACAGAAGCACCGGGACACAGTGTGCTTGGATTTTTATTAGTCATGTAAATGAAAGCAGCATATTTATTATTAGACTCCATTTGCTCCCATATTGGCATCTTATTTTACTAAGGGAACTTTCATTTTCTGGAGATGGGGTTAGGTCAGTTTAACACCAGAGTTGCTTTATTTTTAATTTAAGAGAAAATTTAAATGTGAAGAATGCCCTTTCTGACTATACATACAATTACACCCACCACCTCCCGCTAGGCCATAACTAAAAGTACTCTTCAGCTTGCTTTTTGTTGAGATATCTGGATGTCCATTATGTCAATAGAGTAAGTGAGCTAGGTAGGGATAAGGAGACCTCTCGAGTCAGAACCGACTCCTAGCTGACCTCGCAGCAGGTTTTCAGAGGCTGTAAATTGCATGGGAAGAGATTACATGTCTTTCTCCAAAGGAGCAGCTGGCGGATTCTAACTACTTGCCTTTGAGTTGGCGGAACAACTCCCTATCCCTGTTCTACCAGGGCTCCCTGTGGGAGAGAGAAGCCAGCTGGGGGAAAAAAAAGTAATTCCAGCCCAAGAGATGACAGTTCATTTGATTCTCTGTACTTAAGATGTGAGATCGAATTACAGGATACGCTGCCTGTCTTTTTGAAGTGTTCCCCACCAGATTTCATTTGCTCAGTTGTGAGGTTATCGTCAAGGTCAAGAGGCCCAAGTACCTTAAGTGGCCCACTCTTCATAACTGAGCCCTTTGCTTTTGGAAGTGAGAATTGACAGGACATCCTGACCTTTGTAGAGAGTACTTTTTTGCTTCCTGCACAGGACGGGGGAAATGTCAGAGACCACCAAGTCAGATATGCCTACGTATAGATCTGTCCATGAAATCAACCTGAGGGCTCACTGCTGTTGGCAGGACCAATGGAGCACCTTCGCTTGATGGACTATATATTCCCTCTTAGGGCATTGCAAACTTATTTTATATATTTATTTAAAGTTGATAAAATGTGTGAATGATGCTTGTGATGAATGTTGAAAAGTTTCAACCAGTTCTTGATTTCCTGCTTAAATGACAAAGCTAATCTGGAAAACATTTCTCTTTGATTTTAAAACCTTGCTGTCTGTCAGATACTCCTCTAAATCTGAACATT